GCGGTGATGGTGGCTTGGGGAGGCCTTCATTCAGAAGTGGATTGACCATGTCTGACGATGATGACATATGAATACGAAGTGAAAATTTGCTTCGTAATAAAGTATGATAGCTGTATTTATAATCTATAAAGGACACTGTCAACAAACATGGGCAATTTTTCAAGTTGGCAAATTTGGACCATGAGCACAGCACACAATCACCTACTCTTCTTTCAATTATGCCACAGGATCTCTAATGAGCACGATGAAGCATATGGCGCATATTTTATGGTCAATATACCTGCAGTATTAGCCAGGGCGGCCTGCCGGATTTGGCCCGCAAACCTCTGCAACAAGTGGCGGATGCGCTACCGCTTGGCCATGTTTATAAAACACGCCCTCTCTGTACATCTCTAAATTTTGACACTCACTCGTGAGAAATTTAGCTGTGTTCATACGTTTCTATTTCACACACTCAATTCGCGCGTGAGAAAATAAAGTTTTCAGGATATTCTATAATATCAAGGAATTAAAAGTATGATGAACGCAAATTCTTGATTTAAATACGTAACGGAAACAAAAATGATTTCTTCATTATTAACGCATTTCAATGCCAACTTTAATTGACAGAGTCACTCAACTCAGATTTAATGTCCGATGACTTCCAAGGCCTAGGTTTAACGCTGACCAGAAGTTGTTGTAAAATGTCATGTGTGCTCTGTTTGAAGACATGATCTCCTTCACATATGGATCAGCACTGACATTGTGACATTTATTTAGTATTCTCAACCCACTATGGCTTACATAGCAACAAAGGTGAAGATCGATATGTTATCAATCACAGCTTGTGCTTTAAAATTGAGTAGCAAAAAACATTGGTATTACGGAATATAATACATCCTTTATTGTCACGGTTTCTTACTTTGTCTTAATAAATATTGCGAATGGAATTATGATTGGTTGCCTTAAGATGTGGCCGTGCCATTCTTGCAAAGGGCAAGATCTATTGAAGGGGAAAAAATATCGAAAATTGCTGTTAGTTAAAAAATAAATCTTCATCGCTATCAACCTATAAACGAGGGTCTTGTCAAGTGATAATTTCAAAACAAGGCATTAGATGAGAAAATAAACATCCTAGATCCTACAAGCCTTACACTGCACTGTGAATGGATGCACCCAGCTGTTGTCAATGTGGGCTTTCATCCAACTTCCAACAATAATTTATCTTCATAAAAAAACATTTAAAAATGGTTAATTGATTGATTTTGGCAAGAATGAGAGGCGATGTGTTAATAACATTATTCATTTCCTAAAAGAGTTATGTACCATATATAATCACTTTACAAGGTCCAACGTACAGGAATTGGTGATTGTTTCACATCCTCCAGGATGCTCAGTGGTAGAGGGATGCCTAACGATCATAAGGTTAATCTTCTTGGTTCTTTCGGTAAAGTCGCGTAGAAGGGAAATAATAAAATAATAAAAATAAAACATAATAAAATACAATTCTCACGACGTTTCGGCCACAACGCAAGCAGACGCTGTCTTTCCGACAGACCTGTTCTTCACCTTAGGACGGCTGCTTGCGTTGTGGCCGAAACGTCGTGAGAATTGTATTTTATTATGTTTAATTTTTATTATTTTATTATTTCACTTGTACGTGACTTTACCGAAAGAACCAAGAAGATGAATCCCTGCAGTCACGAAAGCTTTAAATCGAAAAAAAAAATCATAAGGTTGTGAGTTCAAACCCTGGCTGGGAGGGTTGTTTTTATTTTCTGAAGGGTTGTCCTTTGGATAGACTTGTCCTCGCCATAGGAATTGAATTTCTCCTCCTGGCTCAGGTCTGTGAACAGGAATGAGCACAGCCTCAATGCCCATTTAAGCAGGTAATCACGTTGTCAGTGATGTTTGCACACTGAATTGCCATTGTATCAGCGCACTTACCGAATCATTCTGCACGTGTGTTCTTCACATATGATTCAAAACACGATTTGTCCCAAAGGATCCCAAAACATTCATTGCCGACCAATTCAAGTGCGCTGTTAAAACTTTTTCAAAACATAATCCTTAACAGCTCTAAATGTCAAATATAAGCTCAGTAAATAACATAGGAAGGTAGTGACTGCTAACAACAAGAGTCCATTTGAGGAATACAATCTCAGTGTTGCCTGTTGTTTGACCAAGAGAGAAAACACAAAAGATTTATTGCACTACTATGCTGCTGCAAGTTAGGATTAGTCTTTCACCAACGGTAAGAGGAGCCCCTGGGGTGCTTTTCCATGCCGGGTGGCAGTGGATACTTTGATTGTTTAACCATTTTTATTTTCAAAGACAACCCAAGATGGAATGGAAAAATCTCAATTTGCTGCCAGAAAAATGCTTAGGACTCTTACCTTGCACATCTTTTGTGAAATCTAAGCTTTTGATGCATCTTTTACACGTTTATATACGCACTGGCAATAGTGCCTGTAGTCGGGAGCGTAATTTATTGCACGGTATTACACTCGCGATTCTCTGGTCAGCACGCACGTGTATTTTGTTGTGGCCGGGTCAGGGCAAGCGGTAATGATGGTATGTGTTGCATTGAATTCACTCGGGAGGGAGGCTTGAAAATATGGGAGCAAAGAAGTCTTTAGTGGGCTCTGGTCACTTAAACAAAGCCAAGTTGCTTGTGGCACAGTGTTGCCTTAAATGATCATGACACAGATTATTGGTCTCAACAGACACATCACCTTGTGATGAAGGCCGAAAGAGGACGCTGTGTTGGTTATGGCATTGGGAGTTGAGACCTTGGCATAGGCAGTAAGTCGGGGGAATAATCGATGCGGTGATAGTGTCAGTTAGGAGCCATCCAGTACGGGCCAAGATAATTGAAAATGTTAGAAGCCCAGCACCCATGGGGGCCTTCGGTTGAATATTACTGGCATGCCTCTCTTGCCTATTTCTATATTGGTCTGCTGGCCGTTTCAGAAATTCTGCCTTGCTGCCCTGCGTTAATTATAATGAATGCATGTTTCATTCTGTGGCCTAGAAAAGATTGTTAGCGTTCAGTTTTAGCTGTTGCAGAGAGCTACCTGTGAATTAACGTGTTTTTTTTTTACATATTTAACATTTCTACACTGCTGAACATTAAAACGATTGCAGTTTTGACTCTTTACTTTTAATTTGTATACGCTCAAGTCGTACCAGAAAGAGTGATCAAGGAAAATGGCAATAAATGTGATGTGAATAATTTAAATGGTTTCAAGAAGCCAACACTGTACTTATTATATTAACATAATTTACACTTTGCCCTCAGATGTTTAAGTTTTTTTTCCGAAATGCCAACATGTTGAAACTTAAATCTATATCACTTACCTTCAGTTCCATTAAGTTAATGAGTCCTAACACAATAATATGTCTTGGAATGTTACGGAATTGTGGCATGTCATTTGGTACATATACACCGCATATTTAAAACAAATTCCCGTCCTCGCGCGGAACACCTTGTTAAATATGAGACGTACCGAAATGTGTGGAACAATGATTACAATAGTTACGTCTCATTCTTAAATGAGGTGTTAAAATGGATAGCCATCTGCTGTCTAATACTTTAAAGCAGCTCGTCATGTGAGTTATAGATATTGCTACGGTGCTGCATTCCCCCCATGTGCATTACCTGTATATAAGCTCTTAAACGCTGTTGATACATTAAGAGAAACATAAGAAACGTTGTTTACTCTCATTACAAGTAATATGATGATGTTGCATTGACAGGCACAGCTGTTTGTAAACAACAACGTTATCTTCATTTTGTAGAAATGTGTTTGGTAAGCAGGTATTGCCAACTCTGTATATTGTTGAGCCGGTTCCACGTTGACATTTGAGATGGTTGTGACATGTGAAAACAAAAACACTTTTAAGGGATGAGAACAACAGTTCTGCATGAGATTTGTGTTCCCTGGTATCAGTGATATATTGGATAACAACAACTTCCAGAGCATGTTTCGATCACACTAAAGGTTACAGTTGATAATGGGATAAACCTATCATTGAATTTCTTCAATCCGAATAAAATACAACGTAATAGAAATACCACAATTTATTTTACGTCATGTAACCTGTAGCATACAATGTCCACGGTCATACATCACCTACATTTGCCGGAATGTGATGTTTTATTCCAGTGACATTGGATACACCACTTTGCATCGCACCAAAACGCATGGCTTATGTTCATGACTGCCTCTGTGGTCAACAGTATTATATTACAGATATGAAAATGTAATACATAGTAAATAAATAAACTCTCAACATATACGTCAATGACAAAGCCTTAAAAGTCAGAATCTATTAAAAGTGACATTTTGGCCAATTGTTATCACAGCAGCATCACCAGTTTATCAACAGTTGGTAATATATTGGTGTAGAAATAAATTGACATTTACAGTACTTACCAATTTGCTGGGTTCTGAGCCAAGTGCGCTAACACGCGCATACACACACGCAAAGCGATGCTGAAGTGTGTAATGCTGTCTCGTAAAGCTCTGCAGGGCCTTGCATTATTGCCAAACTGTCTGCAACTTGAGAGCTGGGTTGTGAGAACCACAGGAGTGGAGTACAATATTCTGGACAACAGAGAAAATCATGCGACAGAGTACAGGAAGAACTGTGGAATTTTTTTTTAATAAAACAAAATAAATGGCATTGCTAAGAGGAGTCAACCTGTATTTTCTCCCTGGTGTGATCAGCAATAACAAATCATGACAAGGTTATTACTCCATTTGCCTTGTGTTATGAATGCCTGTATGTTGAACTTCTTTTGCACCGTATGTTGCCAACCATGCTAATCGGAGGTGCGGTTGGTTACTTATAATGGTTACGGATGGGTACTTATAACCACATTGAGAGCATTCATCGTTGATTGTCATGTAAGCTGCGAGGTTGCATTCAAAATAACTGTGCATTTGCTTGAGTTGAGCGATTCTAGCCAATCGTGTTATTTCAATGTTGTCCTGGTGTGTGTGTGTGTTTTTTAGGTGTGGTCAATATCAGCAGCACTGGTCCTGAGCAAAAACCTGTGTCGCAAGGCAACGATTACATTTATCCTCGCTACACATTTTTCAATGCTGAGACCGCCTTCTTCCTCAAGAAGAGCAGGCAAGATGCAATAGAAGACGCCAGTCTGCAGACCCTATCACAGCCCGTGCTCTTTCTTGGCACGACCAAAGCACACTACGGTGTGAATGTGAGCTACGGCCCATTTTCTGCAGGGCAAACAATATCCAGTGACCTTCTGGACATGCAAAGCGATGTGTCTTTTATCGTGAGGACCAACTGGAAGATCCACGCATTTGTGACGGAAGATACAATTTTCTCTGACAAAGCCAAGATACAGGTTCTCTTCTACATATCCGAACGGGACTGGGATGACGGAGAGGACGTTAAAAAACTCCCGTGCATTGTTCTTCATGCGTTTCTTGATGTGCATGAAGCAAGGACTGTGTGTTCGCTTGGAAATAATCTGGGAATGTGTTTGGCAGAGATGAGCTTGCCATATTTTTGGAATGAACTTTCTGGAAACGACAAACATCCACATTCCAACCACATGTCGGCTGGCAAAACCGTGGAGTTGTACTATAGTCTACAGTCATCCAACGATGCTCTCAATTGCACTCAAGGCTCCCATGATAAGGCAACAGTAGCCCGGCCCATTAAGGATGGCATGAGTAATATAAAGCAAGGATTAAACTGGGTTTCCAATGTGACTTTGAAGAAAGCTTTAGCTCGTATGAATACCCGAGAGGTATTACTGGACGGAGATATTTCAATTTCTCTCCCCATTAAACCCCTTCGCCCGCAGGAGATCATCCACGTCCCAGTGAAACTTCTTAAAAATTCAACAGTGAACCACTTCACGCTGAGGTATGAGACACACAGAGCAAGGCTTCCAAACTCTTGTGCTTATAATATTCCGTAATGCGTTGTTATTCTTGTTGCCAAGTTGTAAATCTCTGAGAGAAAACCATTTAAGATAACGTTTTCTAATTTGTTAATTTGGTAACCTTCTACTATATCATGAGACTGCTGTTCGCCTTTTGGCGTCCTCTGGTCTAACACTGTTTGAGACAAGGCTCTAAAGAAAGCTTTCTCTGGTGTGGACCAATCAGTTTCAAAGACAATGCATATACTACCAGAGCATGTTTTTTTTTGTTTGCATGTTCACCACAAGTATATGTAGTTAATGCAAACATGATTCCTTGGAAAATGGTTTCAGTTTGGTGTTTTAACATCTTATCACCTGCTTTATTGCCAGAAAGGCTAAAACCTATTCTTATATTTCTCACGACCGTTCTCTGATGCGTTTTCGGGTTGTACAATGTGTAGTCCGTCATGCCATCATGCCATACAGCACAACCACCAAAACCTATGTGCATTACTGTTGCTTAAGCTTCTAAAAATGTCATTCCATGATAATTTGACTTTGTATTTTTAAAATACCAGTTTCATATCCACAAATGTGCTGAGAAGCATAAAACAATATTTGCTCATCTCTAATGACATTTCAGGTTTCAGTTGTCAGACAGCAAGACAAAGGTCTTGTGTGTAGACGCTTAAGAGTGCCAGGGCAGCTCTCGCATGATCTACAAACACAGCTATTTGGTGATCTCCAGTTGAGACACCAAGGGAGCACAGATGTCGCAAAACATTGTTATTTAATTGCATAGGCTATAAATTCCAACCATTAGCTGTTGAGGTCCATTAGCTAGAAGCATGGCTCCTGCCATTTCCATGCACATATGGTGCTATATTGAGTTGGTATTGATTTGAATTAAGCGTGCCACTGAAGTTTCATAGTAATTTGGCGAAATCAAATTCGCTCACAATGTTCAACCAGAGTTAGACATTATTTGTAATGAATACAGCAATTTTTTGTAAAAGTTTCTTGTAAAAATGCTGGAATAAAATTCTAATGCTAGCACCTTGGCTTATATCGATATTTTTTGTCTAATTAATGAGACTTGTGCGAGTAAAATATGACATTTCGAATTTTGTAATAATAATTTGTAATCAAAAGCTCTTTGTGTAACCACTGCTTACCATGCTTAACCAAGCTGGTCAGTGTGAGGAAGTAGCCCAGGACTGATCCAGATAGTGATGCTTAACCATTGTGTCAATGTAACGACCTCCAGTTGAGATTTTCCAATGTAGGAACGTATTTTGCATATTAAATTATAAAACTGCAATAGATCACACGACTTAATGTTACGAAATTGATTCATAATTAGTTTATTTCGGGATAGAGCGTGTAGGCATGCCATTATTTTCACGAACACCCTCCACCATCCTACAGAGCCAATAAAATCAGGTTGTCACGTGGGCAAAGATGCCCCTTTTCTATATTCTTTGGGTCTGTCGGTAAAGTCACGTGACTTTACAAAAAGACCCAAAGAATATGAATTCCTGCAGTCATGAAAGCTTTAAGTCAAGAAATATGCTCTTTGATTAGATTTTCAGCAAACTAGAACGATCAAAAGTGCACAATTTTGTTTACAACATACAAGCATAAGCTTATTATGAGGCATAAGCTTATAGATTGCAATTTAGGGGCAGATCAGTTTAAACATTTTGAGGATGGCAGTTACGACATTACTCCCATTTCTATCTTTCGTAGTTTTAAAGTTCTAAATGTCGTGTGGATTAACTTTGATGGCAAACATTATGAAGTATGCATGCCATTCTTAATGCTAAGGAGTAACACGCACACAGAATGTGAACAGTGGAGGTAAATGATAGATATATGAATGGTAATGTAATACAGTTTAATTGTCATGTTTTATTCCAATTTTCATAAAAGATATTTTTAAAAATATGCATTGAATTTTATGTTATCTTTTTCATGAGCAATCGTCGGTATATAATATTAAAACTCTGGGTAACATACTCTGAGAAAGTGAGTTTTAATTCTATAAAGTACTAGCATATATTTTCTTATTTTAAAACGTTAATATTTTATGAGGTCAAAATCATGGTATTACTAAGTATTTGTTATTGCATATCATGTGACTCAAACACCCCATTTTGCTCTATACTTGTTGAACATTACAGATTATCTGTGCAAGAAGAAACATTAAATATCGTGTTTTGTCTGTGCAGCTTAAGAGAATATTCATGAACTATGGGGATAAAACACACACACAAAATGTTGCATAGTGTAAGTTCAGAAGTGCTTGTTCAGCACAACACCATGAAACTTTATTCACAGTAAATAATTAAGAAGAAATAAACACGAGTGTCAGCAATGTAGCTTCAATGCTAGCCTTTGTGCCATATCCTCTAACCAATATACCTTTTTGTAAAATAGTGGATCAAACGCTTTAAAAATTACATTGCATGTGGTCCAAGTCTTTTTTTCCCCTTTGTAAATTTTTATTATGCATGAGACTTCCTTTCATATCTTTTTTCTTCATTTCAGTATTCTTCCTTTCACCTAACCCTGATTTCTCAGCTGGGAAGACAAGATCCACTAATCCACTCTCTACTTTTCCACACCTCCGATTAGCACGGTTGGCTCCGTACGGTGCTAAATAAATTCAGCATACATACTTCTGAGGTATCCAATGTGGTAGATATCTGAGCTTACATGGGAAATGTTATCATACCTCATTCCATGGTGTGGCAGATGATATCTGGTAGAGCAGTAGCCATCCCTCTCTCGGTGTTCCAAGTGCCTGTGGTTACAGGAGACCCATCTGCCTTTGGTGATGCTATTATTACCCAGCTTCCTCTGACTCTGTTGTGGTGTCACTCCCATTACCGGAACACTCGTCTTCCCTGCGCGATGCTGTGCTTAACCAGGCACCCTATTACCTGTCATTGTGTCACTGCCACTACTGGGAGGGAGGGTTCAGTAACCCCCTCTCTATCCGCGAGGGTTACGTTCTTGAAAACACTCACGAATGCAGAATTCGCGAATGCAGAAACCCTTGTTCCAATGGGGGATGGGGGGAATGGGGTTACGTTTCTGGTACGAGTGAACAAAGAGGGTGGGGGGGTGGTAAATGTTAAATAGTAATGGCAACGAGAAATAAATAATATACAATTAAGAACAATGTGTTGTTTTTATTCACTTTGATAATGATGGTTTAACGCAATGGGGGTTGGTGGTGGTGCTGATGATGATGATGAATGTCGAAGGATGACTCCTCGTGCAGGTGTTTGATGACAATGCACAGTTGTTATCGATGCAGCACTCTGGGGAGCATTGGCCACAAGCACTTTTCCCCCGACTGCGTTCGCTATCGCTTTGAACGGACTCGTTCATGCCAAAACGATATGAAACGTATAAACGAGTCGACTGCCGGAGCGCATGAAGTTTAAAAAAATTTAACCCGTAAAAACAAAGTTTTTCACTATAAATCCTTTATATGCGTGGCGGCTAGAGTCCTCTCGTCCTCTGGCTTGAGATGGCTGCCACCTATGGGTCAGATGATTGCCTGCCACCATTAAGCAATTGGTAATTAAATATAATAAATTTTTTCCTAAAAAGTGTAAAATTTTGGAAAAATGTTTTCATGAAAATAAATTGTCACGCACAACGAGTCTGTATGCAAAATGTCAGCTCGATTGGATCACGGGAAGTGGGTTAAAAAACGACCGAAAGATTTGCACGGTCGTAAGCACGCAAGCAAGCAAGTGAACTTAATATAAAGGATTTAATAAAAAGACCGTTTTCAGAGCGGCATTAACTGCGAGGCTGCAGACGATGCGGTGGTGGTGAGCTGTTTACTCCCTCGCCTGGTATGCAGGAGATCGTGAGTTCGATCCAGACCCTGACACCTGTATATTTGGAGTTTGCATGTTCTCGTGGTCGTTGTACATTTTTTCCCCGGATCTTCCGGTTGTTCCCTCCACATTTAGAATCAACACGCGTTTTGAGTATTTAGCTGCTATACATTTCCACATGTTAAGCCACCTCATTGAGCTATCATTTGTGGCCAGGTGGTTCCTAAAAAAGAGCTATATGGCTAAGTAGGCCTTATCTGGTAAAATAAAGAAATACATAGTTTAGTTTTAGTCTTGACTGCAGAGAACAACACCTCTCTTTCCGCGTTTTCCCTCGCACTGGCCGACTTTGAAATTAACTTCCATCGCCTCTTTTCCCAAGCCTTTATAACATTGCTCCATTCAATAAACGTGTTAACTCATTTATTACAACTTTGATCGTGCTGTTTATTGCTGGCCCCTTGACAATTTGGGCCCTTGGCCTGTGCAAGTATATTTAAATTAAATGAGTCGAGAATTATAATAATGATGATGATATTAATAATTTATGTGCATTTCACACCATTCTTATGTTTGCAGGGATGTCACGAAGGCGCTATGCTTCACAGGTGAACATAGTCCGTCTGTACGGAGCGACGTTGTTAAACAAGTGCAATAATAATACTTGTAGAATTGAACATATTTTTTTAGGACAAAGAGAGATAGAAGATTTAGAATGGGAGGAGAAAGAAGGCATTTTGGGGAGAGGCGGCTATAGTCTACACCGACATTTAAGAGGGGCACATTTTATCCCAAGGGTAGATGATAAATCCTTCATGGTGTATAAAATATCCAGTGAGAAGCATCATGGGGAGGCCAAGACTGATTCCAGAAGGCAGCTGCCCCTGCTGCTACAACATTTTGCAGGTCCCTGAGAGTCAACGTAAAGGATTATGATTTACGAGTAGGATGTTGCAGGAGGGGTACAGAGATGGAGATATGAAGGGAATATTAAAAGAAGAGACGTATGAGCACATGTTTACATAGAAGTAAAGTGAGTTGGAGATGCATGTGGTGGGAGGGTAGCACGCTACTAATGAGCGATGTTTTCTAATTATTATCAAAACACAGTCGTGCACTTTGGCAGAAGGTTCTGGTTT